AAACCCAGCTTTTAAAGCTTGCTTAATTCTGCCCAACATAAAATTTAAGGGGAAAAAAGAAAAAAATATTAAGCTATGGCAAGTTTAGCAGAAGTAGTGATCAATGCAAACAAGCTTCCTCAAGGATCCAGAAATTACCTTTTCAATTCATTCTGATGATCATCAAAAAATATAAGAACTTGACTAAGGTCACTAATTCCATGTTTCTTCATTACTTTTGACCAGTCAACATTTCCAAAATCTACGAAGTCCTTGCCAGCATAATATGTGCAGTTTCCATCAACATAAGCAGGCCCCTTTTTGAGATACTTTTCTGGATGCCTTGGTGTTATAGAGATAATTGGTGTGTCAGGCATAGCCTGTCGCAAAACCCAAGTTGAATGTCCCTTAAAAGCACCACTCTCAATCATCAGATCTGGCTTCAGCCACTGAGCTATAAACCAAAGCCCAAAACTATGATCAAAACCCATCCCATACATGTTGTTCTTTATTGGTCGGGTTTCATATATGGGAACAAATTCTTCCAGTCCCTTAAGCAGATCCTTTGACGTCCACTCAACCTTTTTACCATGTTTCGTTCTGCCTTTACCAAGAATAAGAGTATAAGTGTCCAAAAAGATCAAACCGCATGTACTTAATCATATCAAAACAGAAGGAAATCAAATTATCATTTCATGACTGGCATTTTATGTTCAAAATATAATTGAATTTGCTCTCCATTTATCCATAACTAAGTGCAAGTTCAACCTTCAGTAAAGCTATGCGAATAATAAGAAATATACCCAAAAAATTATGAATCAACGTTCTACTCCTAACTTCAAATGTTTAACTGATTAGCCATGAATGTTGAAACCACAGTTTCCATACAATCTTCTTGTGGAAAATGCAGAACAGAACAAAAATAATTCATACATCTACTAATTTACAATTACACCTAAGTCTCTTCTCAAAATACATGCTCACACACTCAAGTGATTATCATTTAAATGTTGGACTCATTTTACTTTCCTCAAGCTTTTCTTGGAAGTCCAATGCTCCTTCAACTAAAGCCAAACCAAAATTGTAAACCCCAAAGAGCCAATCACAGCTAATTCAGACGGCACAAATGCAACTTCAATAACTCATAATCCAAAAGTACTAAAGGCCGATTCACAGCAAATTTGCAAGCTAGCGGTCTTCCCCGATCCAAATGAAAAACCAAAAAAATCGAATAACACAAACACTTGAATCCCAAAATAACATTCAGCACTGCTAAATTAAACAGATCAAATCAGATGCATAGTGACACTCACACCAGGGCACACCAAGGGCTCCAAAATCCGATTCAAGACCGTCGAACCCGAAGAAGCCAGCACGAGACACAGGGCTATAGGAGGATGAGATGCAGACGAAGCCTCGAGAACTAAAGAGGAAAGAGGAGAACAAGAAGAGGATGAGAAGAAACGCAAGGGCAAAGACACAGTAGGCACCAGAGCCGGTTCGTGAGAGGTAATTGGAAGCCCTATTGGTGGCGTGGAAAAAGAAATGCTGATGTTTCTTGGTCTTGGATTCGTCGCCGGGGGAAGCAGTGACCCCATCGTCTTCGTCGTCACTGAACGTGGAGCCACGCCGGGCAGACAAGGCCCTGTCCAACAACATGGCTGTAGAGAGATGAGGATGCCGGTGAGTAGGGGTTGTGCTCGGTGACGATGACATAATCCTTGAATTACGCTATTAACTTACTGATTTTTTTTTTTCCCTCAACACAGCTTCATCTGATCTAAGTGATCTGTGCGACAAAAAGTGAAAGCTGGAGAACACAGTCTCATCGAACTTCCTCTTTCCGTTGTGAAAATTAGGGTCTGTTAATCCGCTTACACTTGGCAGATTAAGCGCATTTTAGAGATGGCAAGGGAAGGATTTTGAGTGATACAAAAATTCCATTAAGGAAAGTAAATTTCTTCGCTTAGATGTTTGATGGAATATAAATAATAAGAAACATTATAAAGAGGTTCAAGAATTTAAAAAAAAAAAAAAAGGAAGTTCAAGAAATGAAATTATTAATGACAAAATTGGTTAAAAATTTTCTTATTAGAAAATTAGTTGTGAAAAAGTATGCGAGTGTAACTTTTTTTCGATCATATGCAATATATTTTTAGATTTATGTAAATATTTTTTATTTCACATATAAGTGAAGATAGATTCTTTACAATGTGTGGTGAAAGATAGGTAAATGTCTTCCATTTTACATAAAGATTAAGATTACCTACGCACAATTAAAAAAAATTATACCCACTAAAATAAATTACACTTGAATTCGTAAACAAATTCCATTTATGTTTGCATAATTTACCTTTCTAGTTTAGAAGTTTTGATCAATTTTTTCTTTATTTATAAGTCCTATGATTTGTTTGACACAAACTTTTTAAGTTTGGGTGTTCGCAAGACTCAAAATCTAGCAATACCCACCCGAATCCGCTAAAATTATGCCATCCCAATTCTTAAAAAGTAACTAGAAAAATAATTAGGTAATTTTTAGGCTGGGTCAAATGTCCCTAACCCTACCCAGAGTTTATACATATAATTCTATTTAATATATACTATACACATATATTTATTATATAAAATTGTATTTAATGTATATAAAATATTCGTAGATGATAGAAATAAATATTTCAAGACTTAAGTTATTGACATATTTGATCATAGATGTTGTGTGAAGACCTGTCATGTTATATTTGACTATGTAATTATAAGGAGATACGGAATAATAGATGAATATATAGATTTGTAGTATAGTGTTTGTGTTTATATTTATTTTCTCAAAATATTGGGTTAATATAATTTTTAGTCCTTTAAAGTTTTTCTTGTTTGAGTTTTGGTTCCTCATGTTTCAAACAATAGGTTTTGATCTCTCAAGTTTCTTTTTATTTAAACATTAATCTCTATAATTTAATAAAAATTAGATCATTTTACTTTTAAAAGACCAAAATTTATAGTTTAAAACTTAATGAACTAAAACTAAAATGAAAATAAACTTAAAAGACTAAAAATTATATTAATCTTAAAATATTTTAAGCCATGGAATTATAAAATATTTTAAAATTCAAAATATTATTTATTAAGTTTGGTAGGGATTTTTGCAAAATATGAATAAAGTGTCACCATTTTGGAGAAGCCGTCCTGTCCAACTTTGCTCATGTCAGTCCTACTTTTAAGTTTCCACATCAAATGTCCAAAATGCCCTCACCATGCTTATTTGAGCACACTTTGAATAGTGCTAACATAATTACATAAACAGCCTACCTTCACATAATCCTCTTGAACCAAGTTACTATCCATATCAAGTGTTATAAAGTAATTGGCATAAATATTAAGAACTTGTTGATACAACTATTTATTTACTGAAACAGAGAGAATGCGTAATGCGTATAGGAATTTCTACATACCTAAAGTTAGAAAGTATATATACCAACACCGCTAATTGCAAAATGCTACAAAGAATATAACGAATAGCTTGAGAAGGAAGGGTGATGTGATGATGCACAAATTCATTTATTCCTTATTTGACAAAGAAGGGACCCAAACAGTTCAAATGGAAAGACAAGAATTTCAGAAAACCTTTCTCCAATCCACAACATCCAAATCCAATTCAAATATATAAATCTCAAGAACGAACAAGAAACCCAGACAGACATCATTAGCTGCGGCCAACTGGTTCATTGGCCATGGTGTGTTTGGGAGCTGTGTTTGGATGCAGGCGTTCTAATTCCGTACAGGGATATCTTATCTCGACTTTGATCGTCACAGTAATACTTTGTTGCGTTCGATTGCTCTGTTTCTTCATTGGCCGTTTGGTTAAGAGAATAAGAGATTCCCGTCGCCATGCTTCCGCCTCTGCCTCTGCCTCTGCCTCTGCCTCTGCAGCTCCAAGCCAGGCCTTGCAATAATTGTATCCACAAAAATCATGGCATGCCACTGCATCAGAAATCATTTTGGTTTTCGATTCTCCACCGTTTCATGAAGACAAGGGAACAAGTCATTATTTCAGGCCTGAAACTAAAAGGGGTCAAACTAAAAATTGTGAAAATTCTCCCTCTGTTTTTTTATTTGGCAATTGAATTTGCAAGTGGCCTTTATTTGGGTTTACTTGGATAGTTGGATGTCTGGTTGAACTTTGTTTCCGATAAAAGTAGAACATAATAACGAAAGATTACAGGAGAGAGTAATCAGGGACTTTTAGCATACATGAATGAATGAATTCACTAAATTGGAATGTCTCCTCCTACTATTACTATGTAAAAGTACAATTTTATTTTATAATTTAATTTCGAATTTAATGTTTACTATCAATAATTATGTTAATATATTAAATTATATTGATACAAACAATTAGATATTTTATTCCGTGAAAAACATCACACTCATTTGCGAGGTAAACATGTAAGTAGCAAAATAAAACCATCGCCCAAACATAATAAAGTATAAAAAAACTATAATAATAAAAATACATACCACTTCATGTTGCTAATAGAAAAGATAGATAATTAATTTAATTTATGGATATTAAAAAAATAGTTAAATTAGTTATTTGTAATAAACATATGTTAATTACTTTAAAAGTACTATATTTTTTTTAATATTGTGTATTGAAATGATTTCTTAGCGGCAATCTTCTTAATAAAATATTATATTTATAATCAAATCTAATTCTCAACTAATTTTTATATTAAGAATTGAAAAAAAAAATATTTTAGAAATTAGTTGTGTAAGTGTGTACATATAATCATTCCTCATTCTCTATATAATTCTTTGAATGGTAATTCATACTCATCTTTCGATTCTTTTAAGTCTTTCGACTAACCATATTATGTGGAATCATGAGTTCTTTAGTTATTTAAAAAACCAAAGATGATGAAAATAATAAAATCCCATCTATAACTCAACAGATGATGAGTGTTTAGATCTAACAAGCAGAGAAAATTTGCAAAGAATATCAGTGACCAGGAAGACACAAAAAGTAACTGTTTTATAACAGTAACATGTAATCCAACCAACATAAAATAAAATACATAAACAAACATTGCGTATATATATTAGGATGTTTCTATGGAAGAACTTTGCATTGCAGTGTAATCTATAGATGCATCCCAAAATTCAAAAAACCAATGAAATTTTATATCATATGATTTGGATCAACAAGAACCCTAAAACTCAAAATGCTCCACTTTGGCCTATTTGATTCTTCTCCAGTTGTTCTGGCTCCTGCATTTTTCCACGGCCCTGGGAGCTGCAATTAACACAAGTTAAATTAATGGCAAAAGTTAACTCGGGATTTCAAAAAATTGAAACAATTTGAGAAAATGTGTGCATTCCTTAGCTTGAAACTCACAGAATAATTTTAAAATCAATACCTAGCCCAATTGCTTCAGAACCTTTCATGATCCTCAGTCTCCTACATGATTCAGTGAACATCCTGCGGTAACATAATAGCAGAATCAGCCAAGAAAATTTTGGGTCACAGCATGAGAATCAGAGGAGGAAACTTGGAAATTTGGGTTGTTAATGCATCAGAAAGAATCAGATCAGAATCAAATGAATTATAACGTTAGAGGATTCAGAATGAATGAATCAGAAAGAACTTACTCCCATGGGACATCACCAACAAGCATCCAATCTCCATCCTTGTCTTCATATGTAACAACATATTCAGACACATGAAGAAGATCCCTCAAAGAGCTCTCACTCAGACCATCTTTCCCAGGAAACCCACCAGAAGCGCATTCACCTAGTTTGACCAAAAACCCCAAAACAGAAAAACATCAAGATGGAACCTTGCTATGTTTCTTTATTGGGAAAACTAAATATGAACACCCAAAAGCTTATATCTGACAAGTGGGCATAAAGCAACTAGTGGGGGGAAAAAAACAGAGTATACCAACAGTGAAGCAGGTGAACATTTGCTCAAGGGCTGAAGAAAGTTGCATATAGTCTGTGTACATGCTTAGATCAACCTTTCTGAGATATGGAGCACCATCCATACTAACTTTTACATAGAGACAACCACATGCTTCTGGTTTTCCCTCTTCTTCATCGTCGTTGTTCTTTGTCAAGCTACAGGCCATCGTGTTTCTCCGATAGGATCGAATCGGAGGCCACCCCACAACCTGGGCCCTGTAGCAATCAAATAGATCATGTTTCATTAATCTTTGCATTGATGCTCAAGAGTTCAAGAATCTCAAAAAACCAGATAAATCATGCCTCATTTGCAGGAGAATAAAGATGCTTACTTTGCAGAAGGAGGACTGGCATGCTCGTGTGTTGCAGAAACCTCATGCTTCTTATCATGGCTTAGTTTGGCAGATTGAGGAGCCTTGTGGGTATTATTTCTTTTACCCTCAAGGCCGACAATGGCATCATCAGATTCATTATCACTCTCTTGAAAAACCCATTTCCTGGAGGACCCTTCCTTAATGGCATCACAGAAGCCTCTCTTAGAGCCAGCAACAATGTTCTTCGAAGCGGTTGTGTTCTGCAAATCCTTCCCAAACAGAGATATTACATTTGTTGACTTTCTCTCTGGAGACTCACAACCAGGAAGCCCAAGCCTGAGCTCTGTCTCCTTCAAGTTGAGACGCGAGCTCTTTTCAGAGATGTCCATGGAACGGTTCTCTGATAAGCCTATGTAATCATGTTCCAGTAGTCTAAACATGAAAATGGCACAATCAAAAGATCTCAAACAAGACTTCCAAAAAAAGAAGACGAAGCTAAGAGCAGAATAATGCAATACTATGTTATGGAAATGGTCCTGAGGACCTGTACTAAAGAAAATGGTTTGAGACTTCAGGTGACGGAGAAAAGAACCTTCTTGGACCTTTCTATAGCCATCTCTCTCTCTCTCTGAGAGACCAAACAAAGGAATTAAAAAACAAAAAACAGTTTTTTTTTTTTCAGTGCAAGGGAAATGGGGAAGCCATCCTTTTTGCTGTAGGTAGCATAATTTGAGACAATGATCATAATATGAGCGAAGGTGTCTGCAAGGAGAAGGTCCTTTTTATAAAAGAAATAAATTATAAAAAGTGAATATTTGATATAACAATGAGAATTTTCACCGACAAGTGGCCAAGCAACCCCCGGCAACCTTTTACACAGTGTTCCAAGTTGCCAGTTGAGCAACACATACTTTGGTACAGACCGAATAAAGTGAACCAGCTCAGGAAACCCCAAGTTAGACACAGACCATACCCTTGCCAGTTCATGACACGGCAGATATAGTACAGCGGATTGGATTATAGGACTCTGGTTAAGAAAACACAAAAAAATTGAGAACCTTGGTTAAGAAACAAATACAACTCAAGTTTTCTTGTTTCTTGTCCTGTGCTTAAAAATCCCTTAAAATAATAAATAATGATGAGGGGGGAAAGAAAAAACGCACGCACACGCATCCACCACTGAGGAGGAGAGAGGTTTATGGACAAAAAGGTAACATTCTTGGGATGAGCCAGAAAGCAGGGGACAATATTTCAGATCCGAGCATATTTTGTCTGGGAGTTGTTTTTTTTTTTTTTTGGCCTTTTCATATTTTTTCATTCAAGTGGAATCATCAATCAAGCAAAGCACAGTGGGCTTCCCAGGGCTAAGTTAGCATTGAGCTCCTTAATTAGCGGGAGCATATTAAATGAAGAGTTGGCATTGGCAAGATAATTCTGATTAACCATCTTTTTTGGCGGCAAATACAGGTTAGGTCTTTGAAAACTCCATGAGCTTAACACATCTCAAATCTAATAATGCAAACATTATTTAGTTATAGGACTCGATTGTAATAGTTTATAAGTAGATTTTTAATCATGATTTATAAATAAGTTTTTAATTGACTTACATAAAATGCACTTAAATGATTTTAAACATATTTCAAACGGTCCAGATGAAATTTATCTTCCTTCAGTAGCTTATACTCTTCTAATGTTACCAACTTAATATCAAGAACTCCTATCTCAATCTTGGGAATAAGTGATCAACTTTGTTAAGAAAGATTGAACATTTGCATGAAAAAATTATCAATTAGACTCAGGTATCCAAACCCTTTTTAAAAATTATAATAGTCTATTTCCCTTCAACACTATGAGAATTTGATAGAGAAACAACCAAATCAAATGGCACGTACACAAGGACAAGTGACATTATGGCCCTCACAAATACCATGCAACACAAAAGAAACATTTCAATGCATTAAGAAGTAAACCAAACCATCGTTTTAAAAATATGTTTACAGTTTACGAGGTAAATATGTGGAGAAGTTTATCTCATTTTACAGAAAAATATTTCTTAGAAGCATTTTTGAGCATTATCAAACACCCCATAAGGAAAGGTTTGGTCATCTCAGTAAGTAAAGCAGAAGGTTCTTGGCTTCTTTTTTTTTTTTTTTTGACCTGATGAAGGTTCTTGGCCTCACACAAACAACATTTTACAGTTTTACCTAAAAGATCCCTCTTGGCTTAACAGTTAACATTCATACTTATGAGTCTTCCCATAACTAAGAATATGCATCCCTAAAAAGATGGAGCATGATATTAGTTAAGCACAAAAAGGAGAATTGACTTCTTGTTAAGTTATTAACTGTTTGTTTGGATCTTCACTGCAAGAATTTATCTGGCACAGGATTTTCTAATCCAAGTTACTTCGTGCTTTCTCATCTACCTAAATAAATTTATGAATATTAAACAAATTAATTAAATTAATCATTTATAAAAAAAATTTGTGTTAGTTTCTTTAAAATACATCATTTTATGCGACGAATAGAACAAAAAAAGATGTATTAAATTGAAGGCTTATATTAAAAACTGCAGTAATCCCTGATCTAACTTGTATATATTTGTGAACAGATAAATATAATTTTAAAATATAAAAATAAACTTTGTTGGTAAAAAAAAACTAATATATCGTTCAAAATTAAATGAAACTCGTGTGTGAATTTTTATATTTAGGAGAGAGAAAAAGAGTTTAGAAGGACACGCGAAGATCAAAGGGTAATAATTGGGAAGATCTACAAAAGTTGGGAAGCGTGAGAGGGAGGGAGGCTGCGACCTGTACGGCGTTCCGTCTTCCACTTCAAAATTTGCCCTTCCCCACGCCAAAACGGCATTCTGCAGACCATTCCTCGTCGTACGCTGCCCCCATTCTCTCTCATTAAATAGACAGATTATAATAAGGTCCTATATTAAAAAAAATTACAAAATAAATATCTGAAGTTGTTATTTTTTATTTTAAAACTTGTTATTACAATTTTTTTTATATGAGACTTAATTGTAATTTTTTTTTTTAAATATCCTCATCAAAACTAAAACTATTTGACAAACTTTAAAAAAGTTAAAATAAAATTTGGATGTAAACCAAATTATAATTTTAAAAATAATTTTATAACACATAAAGTAAATATATAAAATAAGTTTTGTTTCGATTTGAGTTAAAATATTTTTTAGAAATGCATACAGAAGAATCCAAACACCTCTTTAGATTAACTTATTAAAAGTGATTTTATAAGGTAAGAGATTATTACATAAGAAAAATGATATATCAAGTGAAAATTTTCTGAAAAGTTAAAATAAACTCCCGGTACCCATTAAAATTGACATGTATGCGCTGGTGTAAAAAGTGTTTTCATTGCGCTGGTAAAAAAAAAAAAAAAGTGATTTCATTGCGGGTGCATACGATAACACTCATCCTACAGTCAGATTTTGGGATTGATAACGAATGAATGAATTACATAAACTTTTTAAAGAACTCGAGAGTTGAAACACTCACGGACCCACTAAGCGGATGCTTAGATTCACGTTTTTAATGGAAAACATCAAACATGTATCACTAACAGGAGTTAGGTTTAGCAGAAGATGACTGGTTATTCACAATGTGTCGAATTAAGGTTCGAATATCCGATAGAAGAAGTGTTCGTATTTAATGCCTGATAGTATTTTAAATAAGATTATCTTTAATAAGAGAATATCTATACTTTAACAAAAAAAAATGAAAAACATGTATCGAAATTTAAACACATGTTTGGGTCAGTTTTTTTTCTAGATGAGCTTTTGGGTAAAAGGCATTCCAACGCTGAAGCTAATTCAAGAAGCTTTGCCAACACACCATGGAAAAAGAAAAGATGATAATGAGAAGAAGACAAAAATACTCCTAACAAACCTAATAATTTGATATTATTGATCCTTGGTATAAAAACTTGATATCTAATTTGAGGATATTAAAAAATTAGTTAAATTATTTATTTGTAATAAATTAATGTTGTCTTGTTTAACATATCATTGTTAGTTGTATGCATTGAAACTACCCATCAATAAAAACTTCTTAGTATGCATAATCACCATAGAAATTATTCAGGATAAAATAGATAAATATTAGAAACAAAATGGATTGATACCTGATATTTAGTATTTTCAAATTTTCTCAATGATATATTAACTATTTTTATGATTTTAATTTTAATATTTTTCTTAGAATTATCACGTTATATACATAATTATTTAACAAAATTCATGTTTTTTTTAGTCATTTTATATCTAAACTTACTTTTTTATTATCCATCTGAACAAGTATTAACTTTTCAAACTAACTTTTTATAAATGTCAATCCAAACATAAATCACCTTATATTAACTGACTTTTATTACCCTAACTTAAATTTATAAAAATTAATTAGAATAAAAGTTAGTTTTATCACCACTAATCTAAATACACCCTTATATTAACTTAGCGCAATACATGAGGATTTAGTGATAGGATTTTGGGGAATCCCAATTCCCACAAATGAAGCCAGAGGTTTGATTATACGAAGAAGACTCCGAATTGTGGACAAGAAATCTATTTTGATTTGGGGCATTTAATTTTCCCTCTCCCTCACGAGCTTGTTGGAGCGATGTGAGACCAAAATTTCCAAGTACTCATAATTATGCTCCACACTTTTTTTTTTTCCCAAGTTTGAAGCAGGCAATGTAATGTGCCCTTTTAATTGGCCCTGTTTAATGTGAGAATACAATTAAGATTCTAGTGTTAGATATCCCAGTTTCTGCCGGCTTTGACCATATAACACACACACACAAGAATGTAAATTATGCCGGATTATTAAGATATCCACAATATATATCATCTTTCTTTTTCCCAGGCCTGTTACGTTATCTTTAAGAAGAAAAATCAGAGAGCTTGAAAAAAGGATGAAATATCCCGTAAATAGCATTCAAAAAAACACAAATATTATTAACAAGGATTGGGTCTAGCAGAAGGAGCTAGTTCACCACAACATGGTGAACCAAGGTTCGAATCCCTGCTGGAAGAGGTGCTCACATTTAGTACTTGACCGTATCTCGAATAAGATTACCAATAAGAGGATACCTATGCTTTAACCAAAAAAAAAAAACACAAATACCGTCATGATACTTTCATCATAAAAGGAAGAATACACGGACAGTCTTATCAATTGGCAAAGATGGGCTCAAGCCCACTTTGCCCTCCGTTCACCTATGGGCTATGGATCTTTGGGCCATACATTATGCTTATAATTTCTGTAATATTTCCAGGACAGAAAAAAGACGTTGATGTGGTTATGCCAGACAATCATTGCCTCTATCTAATAAAAATGACAACATTCATCGTGGCGTCGATATGTCCGAGTGGTTAAGGAGACAGACTCGAAATCTGTTGGGCTCTGCCTGCGCAGGTTCGAATCCTGCTGTCGACGTCCATAATTTTTCGATTTTGTATTTTCATTCATCCCCTCATATGAAGGGCAAATTCGTCATTTGATTCCCAATCCGATAAGCTTAATAGACTAGATATCTCACTGTTTTAGCCCTGTGCCCCTCTCGTCGTCTTCCCTCGCCTGTTTCTGTTCGGCCATGGCTTTTTCAACTTGGCACCAAAACCCCACCTTCCTTAAACCCCACGGTTCTCTACCACCCAAACCTTGCACCGCTACCACATCCTCGCCTTCCACCTACGTTCCGGTCCGGTGCGGCGGTCCCCGGTCTCAGCGCGGGCCTCTCGTAAAAGGCCGAACTCTCAGCATTGAAGCAATCCAAGCCGTCCAAACCCTCAAGCGTCTCCATCGAACCAAACCCTCCAACGTAGACGACCTCGTCTCCAAGAACCTATCGCGGCTGATCAAGTCCGACCTCATGGCCGTCCTCAAGGAGCTCCTCCGGCAGGACCAGTGCGCGCTAGCCCTCCGAGCCTTCTCCGCCGTCCGATCGGAATACCAGGCGGAGCTGTCGCTGTACGCAGAGATGGTGCAGGCTCTGGCGAGGAATGGGATGGCGGAGGATGTGGACCGTCTGATTGTGGAGATGGGGGAATCGGAGGGTGGAATCGAGTGCGACGACAAGGGATTGGTGGAGTTGATCAAGGCGGTGATTGGAGCGCAGAGGAGGGAATCAACGGTCAGGATTTACGGGATGATGAAGAAGAGTGGGTGGGGGTGGCGCGTGGAGGCGGATGAGTATGTGGCTAAGGTTTTGAGTAACGGCCTCAAGAACTTTGGGGAAGAGGCTCTTTCTCAGGAGGTTGAAAGTGAATACAAGAAGTCATTTGCCAAGTTCTCCAGGGACAGATTGGTCAAACCAATTATTTAGTTGTTGTAAAATGTAATCGCCTTGTGATCCGACAGAATTGAAAATACAATTTTGGTCATTTGATTTTATTACACAGATTAGTTCCGAGTTCTTTTTTTGTTTTTTTTGACCTTGAGTTCCAAATTCTTCTAACCTTTCTTTTTTGTTAAAAATGATATACTAACGGTTTGAACCCTGAAGGTTGTACAGGTGAAACCGAATCTGCAACTTTTACCAGACTTCAAAGTTATTTGCCTAATTCTAGCCACAAAAAAAAAATTGCCTAACTATTGGATTTTAAAGATAAAGTCACTTGTGGGTAAAACTAGTCTCGGTGGTCTCTTGTGACCTAAAAGCAAGTCGGATGTATCTTGTTAAAAAAATATTTAGATAAAATCAAAATAATAGTTTTAAAAATATTTTCAAAATGTATAAAATAAATACTTGAAAAAAGTTGTCTCGTTTTGTAAGAAGTATTTTTGGGTGTTTTCAAACACTCACTGGCTGTTATAAATTAAATAGCGAGTTTTTTGGGTTCTTTTTTCAGTTGTGGCCTTTTTTAATATTGAAACTTCATTATTGGGCTTTGTCTGTGGGCTTAGACTACAGCCCAAACTTTCTTTAACATTTCTCAAAGTTTTTCCTTTTTGACATGATGGCGTTCCTGAGCTTTATTGTTGTACTGTTTAGACTTTAGACCAATTCCATGTCAGACAGGCCCTCAATGTTAAGTATCATTGAGAAATTGGAGAAAACAATTATCAGAAGTGAGATTATTTTTCTTACATATAGCATCAAAAGAAATTATGGAAAAGTAACTTTTTATTCGATTTATTTCTCTCCACTAAATATTTTGCGGGGCAAAAGCGTAATTTGGGTCACATCTAATCGCCACAAAAAGAAGTAAGACTCTGTACGAAAAAACAAAAAATAATGACAAGAGGATATTATTTGATTGTCATGAATCATGATTCCAAAAACAAAGTCAAATGATATTTCATTCCCTAACTTTATTTGTCATTTTAAACACTTTTTTAGATTTAAGACTTTTTAGAATAACTTTTTACATTTCAAATTTCTACCATCATCCGATGTTTTAAGTCAAATTTAAATCACATTGGTTTCTCTCTCACACACAGAGTATTTGCTGAGTTGAATTCATCATTTTGAGTGAAATAATAGTTCAGGGAAAAAAGGAAAACAGATAAATATAAAAAGAAAAAAGAAAGATAGAAAGAAAGAAAGAAAATGAAGAATAATGATGTGAAACTCAGTCAAAAGAGGTCATCTTTTTTTTTTTTTTCCTTCCTTTCCCTGTATAATGTTGCTGTTATGTTGCAGCATGATTAAACCAAAAGTTGGAAAAACGATAAAAAGGGAATTGGAAATTAGTAAGCTTGAAGGGCTTTCATTGGTGAGACCTAAATTCCCTGTTTATTGTTCATTCTCAAGTGGAAGACCATTAGTCAAACCAAATCCTTCTGATATGTCTCTCAGTAACCTCTTCTGAGCTACACATGTTTATATAAATAGATATGTCCAACTAGTCAGAAATTATGAAAAAGGTGATATAATAATTTGAAATGATAGCACTTAAGCTTTTCCTGGCTTACGTTTGGCTATCTCATTTTTTACTTTTCATTGATTCTTAATGTGATGCTAGAAACGTTGTTCATGGAAAAAAAGATGAGAAAAAGGGTCTTAAAGAGCTTCACCCCATGGCCCAAAAAGGTTGTCCTCTTCGAAAATTATTTAATCACTTCCGTACTCAATTATAACTTCATACACAGTGGTTCATGTATCTTGATCTCAAGACTTTTAATTTGTTTGTTCGAAATGACTTATAATATAAGCAGTTTTTCAATCATACTTTATAAAATATGAGGTAAGTATGTGAAAAAAATTTTATCTCAACTTATATAAAGTGCTTATAAGTATTTAAAAAGTTAAAGTAAGCAGATGCAAACAAACCTTGAACAGTATGATGCACACGATTTCACCTAACACTACCTAGATTTCAAACTTGCAGGTTGCAAGGAGCCAAAGATAAGATATATTGTTCATAAACAACTTCTTAGAGATCAAATGTATATACATTCCCTCCCGCCTTTAGATTTTTGGCATGTTTCATAATATAGCATATTTTGTCATTATTTTTTTCCACCCTGTATCCTTAACTAATTAACCAATTATGTCTCTAACTAATGACTTTTATTGAGAATAATTTTATAATATGTTACAAGAAATAACTAATTTAGGGTTTATATAAAGTTATCAGGTGCTTATAATAAGAACCAGAGAGGGAGTATATTGTTGATGTGAATATATTGATATTGATATTGATTATATTCCTTTGTTTTTAATAGAGAAAGGAAACAAGAAGTATATGTGTAGAAGCATACCATGTGATGGATAGTATATATCTTATACTTACTCCTTGGCTCTTGGGAAATGTAGTTTTCTTTTTGTTGCACATATATCCTGTTTTGTTCTCTCGTATTTGGATCTACACACACACACACACACAACAACTACACATGGAATTTTTTTTATTTAAAAATTTTGGCTTCTTCATGAATGATTAAGAATATACGATATCTTTAATTAATTAGGAGAAAATTGGAGGCTAATTTTGAGTTTATTTTTATTAATTCTCCTCTCACTATTGTTTGGCAATTGAAATTTCAAAGAGTGACCCCCTATTTTGGGATTTTAAATGAGACAGCATCTCTTATGCAAGAAGGTATAACTTTAATTTGTGTGTGTTAGTTTTCAGTTGCATCCTTCTACGGTACTTAAAAATGATTGCCCAACGCTATCTTTTGACAATTATAAAAGGTTTGTGTGAAGTCTCAAGAAACGAGTGCCCTTCGATCACTGAGTATTAAATTATCATCATGACACACTAACCATTCAATAACTAAAATAAAATTTCCAATTAATTAACTAGGGGGAGTGTGTGTGAGAGAGAGAATTATACAACTGTTCAATTTGAAATCTGACAAATTAATAAAGCACTCTAAAAAAATAAATTAATTGTTTATATTATAATAATATTTGTAAAAATTATTTCAATGAAATTTGAAAACTATAAATTTAGATCTATTTTAACGAGTCAATTAATTTATACTACATATATGACATTTTTATATTATACAACTAAATAAAAACTGCAAAGATATTTCGGTCTATGTATATATAAGAAAAACAGTATAGTGCGTTTTTTTATTTCAATGAAAAAGTGTGTATGTGTGTGTATGCACACACACATATTCTTCTTAAAGGAAGATATAGGTGTTTCACTGTAAAGAAAAATAACCAAGTAAGTGGATCTTTATTACGTAAAATAACATCTATGCCTGGAAAGGCTATATATTCCAATGAGTATTCCATTATAATTAAATCAAAACACCACTGGTTTTCAATAATTAAAGTTCTTTATACATAAATGATCATGAGCAGTCCTTCATGGGAGATTCCTATCATTGTCTGCTTTGATGTATTTATATTTAATGACGGGCACACACTCAGATTCTGAAAATTTGTTTGTTCAAGTGAATTATTGCTGCAGAGAATAAAGAAAGCATGCACACACACACACACACACACATGCCATACTGAGATCCAAATACTAATATGCCCTACTATATACTTCTGTATGCCCCCAACCCTAGCCCCTAGGGCCTGGAACAATCCCACGGTATAACCCTAAATTAAGGAAATAAGCCATTAATTTATAGGCCTCATAACACTAGCCTCCAGCTTTTGTGTCCCACTTTATAATAAAGCAAAAAAGCAGGAATAGATGAGAGGAAAAAGAATACTGAATAAATGAATTAAAAAGAAAGGGAAAGGGAAAGAGAAAGAGAAAGAGAAAGCAACTAGATATGCAAAGTAGTCCATCCTCATCTATCCCCCAAAACACTTTTCAATTAGCTTCTCTTCATCAGCTGAGCTTGTAGAAAAGCAGAGACAGAAACTCTCAAAGCTTTTGGCCAAAGCCTTGTTTGGTTGCACATACAAGGAAATAGCACAAAGTGAAAGAAAAGAGAGAAAGTAGGGAAAGGGGAGAAAAAAAGAAGAAGGAGATAGATTGATAGATATATAGAGATATAGATTAGATTGAAATTTAAATTTGTATATCATCATTAAGGTTTTCTTTTGAAGGTCTCTCATATATTGTTACTAGCTAGCATGATGATAATTGTTTGAAGCTTCTCGCCACCAAAGAAGAAGAAGAAGACTCTTTCATCTAAATGATCATGGCCGGAAACCCTAACTGGTGGAGCATGCATCCACCAACTTTGATCCCTCCTCAGTATGTGCTTGGATCTTCCTCAATTCCCATGAATTTCTTCACTGAAACCCAAGAAACTCCTCAGTCATGGAGCCAGATGCTTTTGTAATTCTCTCTCTCTCTCTCTTCCTCTCTCACACCCACTCTCTCTCTCCAGTACACATGTATTTTCACCTTTTCCATATCTCCAGGCTCAGTTTGAAGGGATCCTCAGGAGTTCAGAAATATGTAGCAGTTTAGAGTTAGTTAGTTAATCAAACACACACACACACACACAAACACAAACATATATACTTTCAAAAACGATTTATTTGATAGATTATTTTATTGGGTTTAGCTTTGATGAAAGAACTGTATGAATTGAAGCCTTTATATTTATTATTAAGTACAAGTTCTTTGGGTACTTTGCTTTTCTTTTTCCTGGGTATTAACATGTTATGGTTTGTGGTTCACAACAACAGTGCTGGTTTACCTGGAGAAGAAGAGAGAATGGGGTCGAATCATTTTCAAGGCAAGAAGATGGAAAATTGGGAAGACCAGATTCTGCATAACGCATCCTCCAGAGCAGCTCCATCACCTCCTCTTGCTGTTGATGTAATAAAGCAAGAGGTTTCCCAAGGTGGTAACTTGTACGGCCATGGAAGTGAGGAGTTTCAGGCTTCAGCAGGATCTTCTCATGCCTCGTCCTCTTCTTATTGGCTAAGCAATATGATGCCCCCATCACTTATTCCTTCTAATTCTTCCCCTAAACCTCGTCAAATCACTACCTCAAGTAACAACACTGATAATATTTTGGATTTCACTTATAACAAGCCACATCATAACAATAATCAACCATCTGAGGTAACAATTTTACACAGACCTTCTTCTCTTCATATCAAGCTTATAGCTTTCATTATTATTTTCTAATCATTCGTGTGTTGTCTCTTTTGTTACCTTGCGTACTGTTATAGAGCAATAATAATAGCTCAGTGGCTTCTGGAGTTTGTAATAAGAAGGCTAGGGTTCAGGCATCTCCAAGCCAACCTCCCCTCAAGGTGACCCACAAAACTCTCAAACTACTTTCGGATCTGAATCCTCTCAACGCGATGAGACACCACAGTGGAGAGAAACTAAAGAAGAATTAATTACAAAAGACAAAAAGAGAGAGATAAGGGCAAAAGAAAGAAAATTATTGTCTTTATCTTTCTATTTACACAATCATCATGTCATAGGAGAGGATCCAAAATCCTCTCCCTTCCTCTCTTGTTACTTCCATGCTCGATCTCCCTAGTTATGTAGCTTTAATTACTTGTGATGTGCGCGTGTCTGTTTGTGAGAGTTTGTATATATGTGTGTGTTGTGTTGTGTGTCGTCTTGCTTAATTGTCTGTCTCTTCAACACTGAAATATTCTTTCTGCTTCGTCACATAGTTTTTAACAGAGAGAAGTTTAAAGCATTTACAAATTTTGATGTGAATCAGGTGAGAAAGGAGAAACTAGGCGATAGAATAACAGCACTTCACCAGCTAGTTTCCCCATTTGGAAAGGTAATTAATTTACCAAACCACTCGTTATTATTATAATATGCTTCTCCTGAAAACAAAGCAGGAATAATGAACATGAACAGAATAATACAAAAACTAAACAAACCATTACAAGACTTTGTTTTGTTTTGTTTCAATTACAAGTCCCCATGATTAACAGTTTCATATGTGTGTGTATCTCAAACTTCTTTACCTTTTATATTTTAACCTTAAAGAAAGGAGAAAAGGTGACAAAGGTTATTGTGGTGGTGGTGCGTGTGGTGGGTGTGTGTGTGTGTGTGTTTGTGTTTTTCCCTTTTGCAGACTGACACAGCTTCTGTCTTGTTAGAAGCCATTGGATATATTAGATTCCTCCAAGGTCAAATTGAGGTGATGTTTAATTCCTTTCGCCCTCATTATATATATACATAGAGAGAGAGAGAGAGACATTCTGTGTGGTTAATGAAGTTACAGAGAGAATTATTTAATGTATATTTGCAGGCACTAAGCTCGCCTTACTTGTCGAATGCATCGAAGAACATTAGGAATCAACACTCTGTAAGTGGCCAAAGCACCCATTATTCATTCTTTTACATTTCCCAAAGCATAAACACAATCCCCCGCTTTTCTCTCTTCCACACACATGTTCATGCTGGAGATTCTTTTGTACGTATGTTGCCCCGCTTAATTATGAACATATATTATTAAAATATAGAATTTTTTTTATTATTATAAAAGGTTACTACTATTATATATAGCTAGGTTTACTCCACTTTTAATTATTTTTTAAAAAACATTCTCTAATATTAAGAGAGAATTACAAACAGGTCTTGAATAAAAGATATACTATTTCGTCATTTTCATTTGCATGTCAAACTTCAATACCACATCATAAAATTATATAGTTACAAGTAATCATGGCTTATATAGAAAATTATTCTTTGGTTACTTGAGACTGCATGTAATCCTCTCAAATATTAATCTCCTCAATAGCGGATGCTTATAGCTTAAAATGCTAAAAATTTTCTAAAAAATATATTTATGTGAAAAATTTATATCTCCAATACCGTGTAAAAGATTTTTGTTATTTATTTATTTATATTTCTGGTTAGGTACATGGAGAAAGGAATTCTGTGTTTCCTGAGGACCCGGGTCAGGTAAGCTTTATTGGATCCATCAACTCACTAGAATCAAATGGGGAAGCTCCTTTTACAATTGTTGCAACTAGTTTATTAATTTATAATTAGCAAAAAGAGAAGAAAGCATTAGAAATTATAATAATAAGGCTTCTCAGCTTTTAGTGAAAAGCATAATGTGAGGCTGCTAATTGTTGATTCGAAGTCAAAAACAGGTTAAGAGGGAAGTTATAAAATATTACTCGTCAATTTATTTTAATTATTAATTTAATAATAATACCTTTTCTTTTCTGCCCTCTTTATTCCAATGTAGCTGTTGAATGACACTGGCCTCAAAAGAAAAGGAGCTTCAAACCAGGTTGCTACTGTTTTCTATTTTCTTTTTTACAAAAGCTTGCCTTTATATGAGTTCTGTATTCTCCTTCATTTGACTCCCATCCATCCCTTTTTATTTTTTTTTCTTATAACAATATAAGTATAGAGCATCGTAATCATCATTATCATCACCTTACAAAGTGGGTATAGAAACCTCCATTCTTAACTGGTAATCAAGCTAATAATGACTAATAATTATAGGTCTGTATCCTTTAAAATTGATTAAGACTTTTATGAATTGTTTAACAATAAAAAAAGAGAAGGGAATAAAAAAAATCAATCTTATTCACTCTCACTCTCTGTATGTATTATTCTTTTTGCCTATTTGAAACAATGATGAACTTTAATTAGTCTTTGGTTAGGTTAATTTGCATCTTAATTTATTCGTCAGTTTGTTGATTTATCGGTAAAAATGCACTTTTGGTTGCTTGATTTTGAAAAGTAAATTTTCCAGTCTTCTAATCCTAATATTATTAGTCTTAAATGATAATTTTTTTACACCAATCATTGTTATTTTCAAAAACTAAACTTGATATGTTAATACTTGTGAATGTTTTCTCAGGATTCAAAATTTTAATGTCAACATTTCTTGCTAATAAAACTAACAGCTTCAAAGAAACAATTTACAAAATTATTAAAGGATCAAAATGTAAACCTTTGTATAAAGTTAAGAATAAAAATACATCTAGTATTCTAATCTTAGTTTTTAGGTGTCTTCAGCACTATGATCTTATTTTGCTGGTGCTTCCAGCACCCTAATATTATTATTTTTAGTTACATTCAGCACCTTATTGTCTAGGGTACTAAATGCACTATAAATAAGATCAAAATATTGGATGCACACAAAAAAAATAACATTAGAGTGCTTGATGCACCTCAAAACCAAATCAGGGTGCTGGATATTCACGGTTATCCTATAGTTAAACGATTGAAGATGCACTTTTGTCTTGATTTATACATGTGAAGTAATAATTGATGAAGAAGTGAATGAATTAGCAGGAAGGAGAAGAAAAGGCGAAGGACTTGAGGAGTAGAGGGCTGTGCTTGGTACCTGTGTCTTGCACCCAACATGTTGGCAATGAAAATGGAGCTGATTACTGGGCACCTGCTTATGCCAGCGGTTTTTAATTTAATCTTCACTCTTCTTATTATATGTATAACATCATGAGCAGCCAATCTATAATAATCTCATCGATTACTACTAATCACCAATAAAATAATTAATATGATTAATTGCTCATGATGCTATGTGTTCATTATTCCTTATGATGCTTTTAACATTAAGCCCATCAAGCAACTACATATATATATATATATATATATATGTATGTATGTATTTAGGTTATAATCCACGTACGCTCTCTAATTCTAATTTCTAATAATCAGGATAGTTACTTGTAATATCGAGTTATGTTAGCACTGAGTTCAAGATTTGTGAAACAATATTACTCAAGATTTTTTTTTTTGCTTTTAAATATATGTATTTTGATGAAGCTGGTCATCATATTTAGTCTTCTTTCTTTTATCATTAATGAATTATTAGTGATAATTATTCACGATAATTAACTTCCACTTTTCCATAGTCTTGTCACCTATATATTGCTTTAGGTATATTAACGATGATTATTAATTAGTAATAATTAACCAGATAATTATTATATATTATTGGTTGTAATCAATGTATACATCTATAAAAACTAACTATAGGAAGCCACATTTGTAATTCCACAAACAATGACTTATAGTTATAATAGCATGGAATAGATGTGTAGAAATACAAGTGTGTGCTAAGTAATACAAAACTTTTTAATTTGAAAATTTTCATACGAGTTTCTTTAAGTAATTATAACTATAAGTAAGGATGCTTAAAAACAAGTAATGCAAAAGATATATTTATTGTAAAATTTTAATAGAGTTTTAAAGGAAGAGTAACACAAGAAATATATATAAGTTTGTATAAGTTCATTATTTTTCTATCTCCCTTTTTATTCTTTTTTATTCATCGGAATTCTATAAAAAAAATTTATAATACAAATAATTTAGGGGATTGATACTCAATATTAACTAACATGCATGTAAATTCAATATATAAATCATGAAGTCGCTTCCACATTTATTTACTTAGCTTTGATTTTCAACATGACACGCGAAGCTCCTTTTATATAAGTGGGCAATGAAAACAAGATAATTTGTTTATATAAAAATTTGATAAAGTTACATAAAAAATTGAATCCTTGCATTGTGGCACGCAGGAAAATTATGTCTTTCATGACAAGATATAAACATGCATTAGAGTTAAATCATAATTAACAATAATTTGTAATTAATTCTTTTTTTTTTTTATGGTTGAGCCTAGGGTATCCACGGTTGGTAATAGTAATTAATTCTCCCAGGTCATAGGCTTTTCAAAAGGGTTTTAGTTGGCCACAATACCCTTTCCATTTGCAAGGTGAATCTTTAATCTGCCAATAAAATTGATTCTCAGAGTCTCAAAACAATATCTTTCCCAATTTCTTTTACATACACAAACGGAAAACATATTTAAACAAATTATTCGCCAATTAAATTTAAGCTCCCGCCTATTTTCTTTGGAAATTCAAAAGTCAAAATAACTCGCAATAATACTCATCCGGTCTTTAATATAAAACCTAATTGTTGAGTTAGTTTTGTTTCTAAATATAAGACACATTTCTCATATTTATTATTTATTAATTTTCTCTAAATTACTTCTATGAATACTCCTTCAACCATAATTAAGTAGAGGAAGGAGAGGGGGTATTAAGAAAGATAATTATGATATTTTAGAAAAACGTGTCATATTTCTTATAGTTAACTAACTTACCTAATTTTCTTAATCTAATCAAATTAGTTAAATGGGTTTTACATTAAGGACCGGATGAGTAATATTAAAGTTGAAGAGATGAATTAGTGTTTCAAGCGTGAATCTGGGGTCAATAGCCATTACTAATGCGAATTAATGTGTTACATATAGTAATTAAAAAGATGGCTTGAATTTGCTCATACAATTATAAAGCAGGACGAAATATTTTTTTTGGCCAACCCCATGAAAATCTATTATCCCCCTGGCTCTTTTTATAAGCAACTTTAAATTCTATCACGTAGTCAAAAAATTAGTTAAGGGCAATAAATATGTAGAAATTAAAAGTTTTTTTTTTCAAAATATTCTTATTTATGAAAAAAAGAGAATGCGAATGGAGAGAGATGATGATTTGAAAAGTGAAATAATAAATATGTTGGGTATTAAAATAAGTAATTAATGAGAAAAAATAGAAAATTTGTAATAAAAATTTAAAACAATTTATAAATATCGCTTATATTTAAGAATAAGAAAGAAATATTAGTTGTTGTTTATAAAAAAGACGGAGAGAGTAACTTATTATTATTTTTGACTTGATAATTACAAGGAATAGGTATGTAAAAGACTATTATAGTCTTTTTCAACTTAATTACATAGATATGCGTGGTATTTGTGTACACATATAGCTTCAAAATAAACCTGGAATATTTTTGTTTGCGTAAAGTAACTAACATTCAATGCCTTTATTTTATTTTTAAAAAATGCGTTCAGTACTTCTTGTACTATTTGTTGGATATAACTAAATAAATAATATTGAGATGTTAAATGTACCAGAAAAATAAAATCATAACATTAAATGCAAAAAAAAAAAAATTGAATGATATATATATAATTTTTTATCTTCGCTCGAGACTTGAATGAAACGACATATGATGACACTCATGACCGACAAGAACTGAGAGAATTCGTACAGATGCATGCAAATCATCTGCAGTACCTGCAAAATTACGTTTGGGTCTGGAAACTATCCTGGGACAATTTATTAGGACTATCTTTATATACATAAAATAAAAAAATATTATAACGAGAGCACAAACACTTGAAAACACCTATAATCATTTAATAGTCTGAGTTTTGATTTCGGCGTTATTCATCATTCATTCTGTGGATATATATATATATATATATGGATTATATTGCTGTTCTTTCCTCAAAAGGACACACAAATATATATATATATGAATTATATTGCTGTTCTTTTCTCAAAAGGAAGTTTTCAAATCGCATGCTTCTCATCATGATCATCAGAATTCACACATATACACAGTGGTAATTATTAGGGACATCGTAACAAGGGAATATAAGGTCACAACAAAATAAAAGATAAATTAGAAAAAATATATTCCATTAAAAATTATACTGGTTAGAAGGATTTAAATACTTTGTGTGTATAAGATTTACAAAGCAGCCATATTTTCTGTAGATAAATCTTTTAATGTGATAGTTAGTTTTTCCCTATTTTTTTCTAATTTTTTTAAGCATATATGTGTATTGTTCTGCTGTCAGAGAATTCATCATATTTAAAGTATTATCATGCACTGAACATGGTCACTTTTTTTTTTTTAAATGAAAATTTAAACCTTAATTTATTAGTCTATCGCCAAAAGACGTTCACGTGCCTGACCCGAATGTGACTACATGGACCCCATCCCTCGGGTTGCCTTTTGGACCACTTGCATATATGTGTATAATAAATAAATAAATAAATAAATAAATATATGCCTCTTCGTCATTCTCACGCTATATATTGCGTCACATTTACTTTTTTTTTTTTGAAAAAAGAATTAAGAGTTAACTGCGTAGAGTTTTTCTTGTCTTTTTTGCCCTTTTCTTCTTTGGAAACAAAAGGCCTGATAAGTCCGGTTGGATATCGACGGCTTATAATAGGAATATGGTAAGTCGATCTCACCCGTCAATAAGTTCTTTTTTTTTTAATAAAAAAATTACCCTTTAATTACCTACGGATAATATTCTTACACTAAACTGTGGAGTCAAATTTAATTATATACATTTTTCATTCTTTTATGTTTGGAAAAATCATAAAAAATGACCGTCAAAATAAAAAAAATTATAAATAATAAGAACCCATGATAATATTAATATGTGTTTGACAACAATAGTATAAGTTTTGATTATAATTTTTATAAATAGGTCTCTGTGTATAATTTTTTAATTTTTAGAATTTTTTTTACGATTTCTCCTTTATGTTTCTTAAGCGATCTGAAAATGAGGGATTAGCTAGGGTTTGCTCTTTGCCGTGGTATTTCCCACTTTGAAACGTGAAGCCAATGGGATAATGACGGATAAATACCTTTAATTATATCCACTAACTAACGAAATTCTAAGTGAGAGAGTCTTAAATATTACTTCTCCGGTCCTAATTATAAGACCCAATTGACTTATTTGAGGATATTAAGGAAGTAAGTTAAGTTGGTTATTTATAATAAATAAGTGTTGTTATTCCTAAAATATCCTTGCTAATTAAGTATATTGGCTAAAAGTATCATTATTAGAAGGATTATTTTGGAAAAAAATGCATAAATATAAGAAAGAAAATGGATTGGGTCTTATAATTAGGACCAAATAAAAAGTCAAATTGGGTCTTATAATAAAGACCGGAGGAGTATTATTTATTTTAGAGTGGTTAGTCGTGTAGGTAATTAAAAATGACTTAGTTTGATTTGCCCTGGGATTATTTATTCGTGTTTTATATAGGATGACGTAACTTTATCGAAAGTTGGTTTGGTAATTCCATTTTTATATACCAGAGAAAAGGCAAAAGTTAAACAAAAAAGTATGATTGTGATTGTAGTTTTTGTTTGGTAATGGAGGAAATTTAGAAAAAATAAAATTTAATGTTCTTCATCATGTATCATTAACATAATTCATAATCATTACTAAGTGCTGGGCGAGTAGCTCATGACTCACTTCATATATTTACATAAAAAACAACAGGAGTTAGTAATATAATATTACTTCCGATTCTAATTATAAAACCTTATTTGTATATAAATAAGATCTTATAATTAGGATCGGAAGTGGTAACATTGAAAGATAAAACAAAGTAGCTGAATAAATATATATTATTTCTGGTATTTAATATAAGATTTTATTTGATTTTTATTTTGGTTCTAAATATAAGATCACAATCCATTTTATCTCTCATATTTATCAATTTGTTTATAAAATAGTCCTTCTAATAATAGTAGTTATAAACAATACACTTGATTAATAGGAATATTTTAGAGAAGACAACACCTATTTATTATAAATTACTAACTTAAGTTATTTTCTTAATTTATTCAAATTAGTTAACTAACTTGTATGTTTAGAACCGGAGTTGGTATTACTAGCTATTGTATTTTATTAATATAATAATATTGAAGGCTGAATGAATATATATTACCACTTCCTATTTTAGATACAAGAGCAACTAAGGGTCGTTTTTTTTTTTTTTAGGTAAAAAAGACTTAAAGTGATTTTAATAAACATGATTAAAAAAAGCAATGTAGGAAAACTAATGTATATTTGTCACAAACAACTAACTGAATTAATTTTATGCTTTAATTTTTTGAAATGACCGCATCATGGGTATTATTTTATTTTGAACACTGCTATTTTAAAACATTGATTCCGAGTGTAATGTAATTAAATTGGTCAGCTTCTTTGTTAGGTGGTGTAGAGAATAAGAACAAAAGGATTGTTAGGAAATATTAATTAATAATACAATATTTTTCATGTAAAAACAGTACAGTTTTATAATATTTAATAGTAATAATAATAATAACGAAGCAAAGGGTTATGGGTATTTATATAATTTAATAGAATAAAGTTACGATAATGCGAGGAGTGCTCTGTACTGTGTAACTTTGGATTTGATGTCTTTACCCATCTTGGCTTGCGTGCTAAAGGCCTAAGCCGGCGAGGGAATTAGAAGCAGAACGAAACGGTACACAAAAGTATAAAAATAGTATAGCCTCATCTTTCCTTAAAAAAACCCTAAATCTGTCAACAGGTATCCTATTTATAAAGTATTTTTAACCTAATTTATCAGAATTAAAATCTTAAATTTTACTAACTTTATCTAAAAATTTAATAAATATAAGATCCACCTTGTAATGCAATTGTACTACTATATATGATTTTAAAAAAATAGTCTACAAGATAATAAATTAAAAATAATATTATACATTTATATAATAAATTTAATAAAATGACTTATATTAAGGGAAAAAATTAATACCCTCTCTTCTGTCCAGAGGAGTATGAAATGTATTTCTTCTTGCTTCACTTATTATATATTTCTCCATGTAAATTGAAAAAAAAGAAGAAAAGTATCCGTGATTTGTTTTGAATTATACATATTGATTGATTAATTATAATTAAAAAATGTGTTCATGTATTTAAGTGTGTTTAATTCCATAGTAATGTTAACAAAATTGCTTCATATATTAAGGCTAATCGTCTTCATGAATCGGAATAATTTTTAAATTAGTTATAACCAACAATATTCATCCAATGCGGCCTGATCAAAAAGTTGCGGCAGCAATAATTTTTATTTATAGACTAATAGATGATCGACAAATGTTGAAAATGTCATATTGAGTGGCCTAGCCATGAGCTCGTGACCTCTTAGTTTTAATTTTTCTTTTAATATAATATATATACTACCTCTGATATTTAATATAAGAACTATTTATTAATTTCAGTAGATTAAAAAAATTGATTAAGTTGGTTATTTGTAACAAACATAAGTTAATTTTTCTAAAATACCATTTTTAATTATAACTACCCTTTAACTCGCGTAATCAATACAGATCCATTTAAGAGAATGAATTACAAATTTAGTGGGACAAAAAGTATTAAGATATTACTACCTTCGATCCTTCATATAAATCTTATTTGACTTTTATTTTGATCCTAAATATAAGACTTCAATTCACTTTATTTCTCATATTTATGTTTTCTTTTCCAAGGTAGTCCTTCTAACAATGGTAGTTCTAACCAATACATTTAATTAGCAAGGATATTTTAAGAAATATAACACCTATTTATTATAAATAACTAACTTAACTTGTTTTTTTAATCTCCTCAAATTAAGCCAACTAATTCTTATAATTAGGACTGGAGGTAATATATTTATAATCAAATTCAATTTTCAACCAGCTCTTGTATTAATGACCCAAGATGGTATTATATATATATACAACTTATATTGAAATATTTATATTATGTTAGTTAAATGTCATAAGTAAAACACTTACATTAAATACTTTATATTTATTATGTCAAATTCTTCAATTATAAATGATTATGTGTCTTTTTTTTTTTTGTTCATGTGAATTTATTGTTTAATAATAATATTTTAAAAATAGAATATATAATTATGTGTGATTGGATTGAAACCCCCTCTTGTTTGTGAGAACCGTTGAACTCGTATACCATGGTGATACATTTGAATTTCTATTAAAGAAGAAAGTCAACTCCTTAAGATGCCGATGATTACTGCCTCGCTAAAGTCAACTCCTGAAGAATATCTTGATACCGATGATTATTGCCTTGCTCCCTTGCAGGCAAGTTAAGGGTTTCAGCACTGTCAGTATAAGTTTCCACATCTCTGAATCCTAGTTCCAGCACACTTCCAAGCCAGTTTTTAAAGCTAGAGTTCTGCTATTACCAGTGGATACCTATCAAGTTTACTACAGAAACCAACAATCCAATTTCCATACTGATGGAACCCACTACACAAATTTACATCAAAACGAGCAACAATCTGGAAGACTGCAACTCTAACCAGAAAACTACAGAGAAAATAAGATGAGAAAGTGACAGAAAATCCACATACTCACTCACTGGTTCCCTAGTTTTTGAGAGATTAGAGTCTCTCCCTCACAAACACTCACTTTTTGTCCAAAATATACTCGTCAAACAGCCTCTCTGTCTCTCACACAGACCTCACACACTCCAGATGCCTTAGCGTTGGCCCTTTAGATAAAAGCCCATTGGCTTTGGGTCCATCACATATTCAACCTTAATCGCTCCACCACATGATCCACTCCCATCTCCATTCAGTATTGCATTACTGTCAAATCTCACATAGCCATGCTCACAGGGAAGCCAATTCACCGTATTACTGGTTATGTTCTGCTTATGGTGAAACTTTTCAACAAGAAAAAAAAGAAGAAGAAGATGAGTTTGGGCGATTTGGAAGAGGAAAATTTGGATTCATGACTAAAAGGTAGTTATTTGATTAGGATATAGAACAAGAAACTATGTAGATAAGATAAATTATGATTCCCTTTTCTGTGCGTTAATGCTTTATAACTAAATACTTCTATAAACCAAGAAACTATGTAGATCAGATATATTGTGATTCCCTGTTCCAAGTATCACTGCATCATAATTAAAAACTTCTTCAGAAACAATCTGATTTTGAAAGGTCAATATTAGAAAAAGAAAAAAAAGAAGATAACCTGAACCCTCGCGTGAAAGCACTTTTTTTAAGTGATTTTGAGATATCCCAAACACCCCCTAAAGCAGTGATTGCTTCTGCATGACAGATTCTATTTTCATCTTGCAAACTGCAAGCACATGGCAAGAATTCAACTGAACAGCACCTAAAATCCAAATGATTAAATTTTTAGGATTGTGGAAACTGATGATTGATCAAAACGCAGGGGTGAATCGGGAGATGTTTAATGATAAGCCCCCGTGTACAATGAAATCACAAGGGGGAAAACCTTTGTCAGCCTTGAACATTCTGGTAAGTTTTGTAATTAATGTTTCCACGTCATGATCAATATTTTATTGCAGAGAGGAATCTTTCATCTTTGTTTCTTAGACATACCTACAAACAAGATCCTCAGAGCCTTCCGTGTTATCAAGAGTTGAGAAGACTTTTCTATCAGACAGTACTTCAAATATGCCATTAAAATACTGACGGGTCAAAATAAGATAGACTTGCAATGTTTAGAACTTTTCAATAAATTAGTTTAAAATAGGCTCAGTGCTTGCCGCTTAAGATAAAAAATCATATTATCTGATTTTTCCAATATAATAAGCACAGGTTGTAGATCATGAATTGTCTACTTCTTCGTGGATGTCAAAATTTTCAACCCAAGCTTCCAGATGTCACTATAATTTGCAGTCTTGCAGAACAGCCCATCATTTAAGGCTATTATATTAATCAGAGAAAACTCGCACTGGGCTCCTTAAAAAAAGGTATTTTTTTTGTTTTGTTTTACAAAACAAAACTCGTTCCACATACCTGCAAAATCACTTAAAATAAACAATACATCTTCTACAGCAAGATTCAATTCTAATATTCCTTACTGGGGCACGTTTGGATTGTGGAGGATGGGTAAGGGGAAAAAGAAAGAAAGCGTTTATCCAAATTTGAATGTAAAAGACCCAGGGCTTACCCTGCAGTAATACGAAATCAATTAAAATTCTTATGTTCCTTTCCCCATGTCTAGATATGCGTATATCATTGCATACAATCCCTGTTAGTCCATTAAGAGGGGAGGGGGGGAACAGATCTGCAGAATGTAAATTGCAAATAGACTTTATCCAGTAACAACTTTTCCTTCTGGTAAAAAAAAAAAAAGTAACAACTTTTCCAGTATAACAGCATCTACGGGTGAGAAAACCAAAAACACCAAAGTCTCCTAGACACACAAGGACTTGTTCTTTAGAGCTTACTGGTTCGAAGGACTGCATTGATGTCAGTAGCTGCCATCCATTGCTTGCCCAAAGCAATCAATTCTCCATTCTCTTTCTTCCTAACTTGAACAGCCACACAAGTTAATTTTTCCTTCTTCCCCACAACCTTTGCCTCTACTTCAACCTCTTCCTGTCATTAAAAGATAACCGCCAAGTTACTGATCCACAAATGAAAATGTAATCTTTCCAAAAACAGTTATTTATTGATTACCCCACTTTGAAATCGCGGTGGGTTGGCTCTTGGGGATAGAAAATATTGATTCAAACATTACAGAGAAAGGGAAAGAAAGAAAGAAACATTACCTGAACCTTAGCCGTGGAGAAGAAGGATATGGAGAAATCGACAGAGACATTGAAAGCAGGAACAAGGGAAAAGGTCGCAAGGGTGCCAATGGTGTCAACTAACGTAGCGATTGCACCGGCATGCCAATTTCCATTTTCATCCTAAAAAGGCAAAGCATGAATTTTTCAAGGACATAGTGAGGGAAAACAGCGATTGAACGAAGGACGCTTAGACTGTCACAGATTCTTACTAATACACCAATGGGTACGATGTAATTCCAAAGAAGGAAACCTTTGTGGGCCTGGGCTACCCGGATACCGTCGATAGATAAAGCTATAACCTGCCGACCTGAAACACGAGCACGCTCCGAAATGGCTTTTAGCAACTTGTGGGTGGAAGATTGCAGAGAGGTACCTTCCTCCATCTCTGCTCTGAAATTCGCAAAATCCGACATGGCTATGGAAAAACTTCTAATAATTTGGGCTCACAACCATCGTTATAAAAGTCAAGGTCCTCTGATGACTTGTGTGTTTCAGTAGCGTTTCTGGGCGATGTTCTAATGAATGGAGACCATTCATGCGATCATTTGTGGTTCCATTAAAGCATAAGAAGCATTTGGCCATTGCACTGTGGAAAATGGAAATAACATCACTGCATAGTACACGCCACTTCCAATATGTGTGGTTGTGATCGTTCCGAATATGAAGTCATGAACCAAAAAAGAAAAAAACCTGTTAATTTATCATAATTGCTTTGGGCCTTTGGCTTCTGAATAAAAGCAACATTTTTTTTTAACAGACAGAATTTGAGTACTGTTACCATTAGTCCAACTGAAAGGGATTTAGATATCTTAATATCTTAGACTTGACCGTATTTCAAGAGATTAGTCTCTTACTGTTCGAATGGGAGGATACTCTGGGAAACCAAATTTTTTTTTTTGTTATCTTTGAAACCTGTAAATTTTTTACACTATATCTTTAATATTCTCATATTGTTTTAAGCTTATTATATTTTTATTCCGATGAGATGTAAAAAGTTTAAGGGTGGTGTTCAGAATTTAAGTGTCATTCCATCTCTATTTTAATCTTATTTTATTGTTTATTTGAGAGTGATTTTTTCTAAAGTTAAGATGTATCAAGTATCCTGAAATATTTTGTGATACATCTAACACCTTAAAGTATTTTTTTTAAGTGCTTCCAACACTATGAAATATTTTTTGTGCATTCAATATTTTGAAGTATTTTATTTAGATGCGTCCAACACCTTAAAATATTTTTTGATGCATCTAACACCAAAACAAACAAAAAAAAATTTTAGAACGCTTGATACACTATAGGATACTTTATGATGTTGAATACACCTCAACTCTTTTCTCTAAAAAAAAAATTAACAAAAAAGTTTATAATAAAGAATGTTGTTCCATGCTTAATTTTCTCCTCCGTTGTGATTCGAAGTCATAATTAAAAGGTTGTAGAATTGGTTTTAGTATGATTTTTCATTTTGTGAGTTTTTAAATCTTCTAATCGAGGATAGGGAATATTCATATAGCCCAATTATGAAAACAAAATTTTTGTTTTTTTTATTTTAACTTTTCTTCTTCTTGTTTTTAAATTGGATCTTGATCTTTATGTTAACACCCATCATAACATTTTAATCAGCGGGTAAATTCGCTATTCTAAAAGGCCAAAAATGAAAATAGACATGGCTAAATCTTGGAGTAAGACACTAACAAGGATGTTACAAGAGAATATATTCTAGGCAGACACAATGAAGAAGGAGCAAGGGACTATATATACGTTTAGTTTTGCAAGCAATCCATGTCGGTCCATAAAACCAAAAAGAAGACTTTATCACCCAATGACAATGGCGTTTATGGGAAAGAAAACCAAAGGCTTCATGCCTCTTGCATGATGTTTAAAATAATTTATAAACATGTTTTATATAAATTGAGATAAAATTCTTTTTACATGCTTATTTCGTATTCTGTACATCACAGTTAAAAAAGCTGCTTATAAATGTGTCTACAAAACACACTTGTACTTCAGAGCTTACTGGCTTGATGGCTTGCAATGGTGTTAGTCGTTGCCATCCATTGCTTGGCCAAAGCAATCAATCGTCCGTTCCCTTTCTTCCTAATTTGAACAGCCACACATGTTAATCTCTCCTTCTTCCCCACAACCTTGGCTTCTACTTCAATCTCTTCCTGTCATTCAAACATAACTTTTTCAACTTACTGACCCACGAAAGAAAAATGTGATCTTTTTGCAATCCCAAACTATCCATCAAACTTCTTTCCAAAAGTAGATGACCCCCTTTGGCTTCTGGGGAAAGAAAATGTTGGTTCCAAGATTACAGAGAAAGGACAAGAAAGAAACACTACCTGAACCTTTGCTGCAGAGAAGATTGATATGGAGAAATCGACAGAGACATTGAAGACAGGAACATAGGAATAGGTGGTCACGGTGCTAATGTTGTCAATTAACGTAGCGATTGCTCCGGCATGCCAATTTCCATTTTCATCCTACAAAACCAAAGAAATCAAAGCACGAATCTTTCAAGGACAGAAACTGGAATAAAGGTGATTGAACGAATAAGGGGTAGTCACAGATTTTTACTGCCACGCCATTGGGTACGATGTAATGACAAAGGAGGAAGCCTTTGCGGGCCTGAGCTACTCGAATGTCCTTCGTAGATAGAAATAGAATCTGTCGACCAGATTCAGAAGCATGCTCCGAAACGGTTCTTAGCAACTCGAGCGTGGATTGGACAGACACAGAGGTATCTTCTTCCATCTCAGAACTTAGTAAACACTGATGACATGCCCCATTGCCCCTAGAAGAACTTCTGACTTAGGCTTATGATTGTGTATATGAAAATCAACTTCGCCATTCCAAATCTTGGCTTGTTGGTGAGAGTGCGGCCGTTTTGGTAACACCAACAAGTCACGAGCTCCAAACGGGTCGTTGAACAACAAACAATAATTGACCATTGGATCTGGCTTGTGAGGCAAATTGAGCCAAAAAGGAAAAAGAAAAACATATATGCCATACTTATGTGCCGCTTAAGAAAATTATTTGGGGTTCGATCTCTGACATATGAAGTTATGTAAATGCAAAGATACTCCTCTAATTAGATAATTGATTTTGATTATAATTTAATCAACATTAAATGCAGGAGATTGTTATAATTTAAATGTTTCATCCCTTGCTGTTTCTTCCCTTCACAACATTTTTTTGTCAGCTCCCTTTTCGACATTTGAGGTTAAAATCACAACAGGTATAATGAAATATTTTTGTTCTTAGTCATAGGTGTCATTCTATTCAAAATATTATTGAACATCAAATACGAGCACTTCTCACAATGGAAAGATAATGAAACATGATTTTGCTTGAACGAAAGTTGTTTTCCCTTTGCATAAGCCCACTTTCGTCCTGACAAACTGCTCATTACACCCTCCCCCCACAAGTAAGCATATTATATATGGTTTCCGATGAGATCGAAAACGTTTAAAGGTGATGCTTGAGAGAAGTAATAAAATTTTTATTATAAAGATGATCCTTCCGTACTTGGACTTTGGTGGCAACTCCATATGAAATTGGAAAAGGGGAAAAAAATTAACGAGTAAGATAAATACATTCCTTTTCATTGGTTAGTTTTCTTTTCTTTTCTTTTTCCTGAAGGTGAAGAATGGTTGGACTTCAATATAAAACGCTTTATTGTTTTCTGTCTGATGTTGTTGCGTGTTAAGGTTCAGAATCCTCATACTTTCCTCAGCCCAACCATAGGAAAAATGAAAAGGCCCTTTAGAAGCTCAATAAGACTGATGCATGAGGCAGAACATTTCCAGCACATGTATTCAAGTCATAAAACTCAACTTTCTGCAAATTCTTCGAGTTTTTGCCAGAGTTGTGCAATGCACAACTGATTCAGCGAATGAAAATATGACTTATACCTCATTCATATATATCATTTATGTTGCTTCTTGGGGAAGATGTGCCATCTCAATTTCTTGAAGAGACTTCCCTTTTGTTTCCACAACATTTTTCTTCACAAAAATCACCGCCATCAGACAGAATGAAGCAAAAATAGTGTACAAGAGTTGTGCCCCGATTTGCTCCAACAAGCGCAAAAATAGTAGACCAACAAAGAAGTTCATAACCTGTCGAAGAATGTACCAACAATCTCACACATAGATAAACCAAAGGAAACCAGCTTGGGATACAATAAAAAGGGGAAATGATAATGAGGACCTAACCTATGTTCATCCATGCATGCATGTTGTTTTATGATGTAAAGATTGATATGGAAGAATTTAACTCATACGGTAGTCCAAACAATTTTGCTGCTTCCTTTGACAGAGCAATCACCAAAATGATTTTAAAAAGCACTAAAGAAAACGAATGCAGAATAAAATTACCCAATGAACAGCCATGCAAATTGCCATTGCCTTAGCCCTGATTGCGCTAGGAAGTATTTCTGACAGGAGGAGACCAGGAACTGGACCAGCACCAAGAGCAAAAGACAAGACAAACCTGCATGAATATCAAAGGAACAGGTTTCAGCAATAACACCAAGGCATATTAAATACTTGCAACAACTAACAAATATTGAATTTTGTAGCTATATTTCTTTTCGGTTTTCTTTTTCTTCTCTCATATAATTTCTTCTACTCTTTTCTATTGTCCAAGCAAGATGAACTTTTCTGGGCTCTCACATCAATATGCCACCGACAGATAGATACATTGCTGCATATTCTGATGCGAAGGAACTTGCAGCAATTACTTGCAGACCCAATGATACAGCCTAGATCAGCAATATGAATAAATGTCAGATAATAATTCTCAGCTAGCGTGTTGAAATGAATGGAAGGTGTAATTAAATGTGCATGAGCCTTGTTTTGCGGTTACAGAACTCCCTATAACTAAAATAATATTTCTCTTGTGCTTTTAAGAAATCCTTCAATAGCAGATTCATAACTTGATCTACTCTAACTAGTGTGCAAGTAAAAATGAAAACTGAAAATGTTTGGGCAAAATATATGATTTAGACGGATTGCCATTTTCAGCTTCCTACTTTAACTCCCACCAAGCACAACCTAAATGTCCCCAAGACTATAAAACAGAATCAAGATAAATTCCCAAAAATTGAAAAATCTTCAGAATGATTGCGTTAGTTGTATGTTAAATTATTAAAAAAAATTTGGAACTCCAATTTATATCCTTTAGATACCTTGAAACCACAGATGACATACATGAACAATAGACAGAACAGAGTAATTTAATATCCATAAAATATTCCAGGTCAACGCTTATGCTGAAAACAATCATGCATGGTAAAAATCAAATAAGCCAAATAACAACTTTTTTAATCTCTCACCATGCCCATGAAACTCCCCAGGAGAAGCACTTTCCTTCCTAGTTTATCCATCAAAATCATTGCAAGAATTGACCCTGAAGGGACGACATGGTTGAGAGAAAATACGCACCGTACAATGAAAACAGCAAAAATACTACGGTGTAAAGCCAATGCATACCCACTAGATTGCAAATTCCTACACAAGTGTTTGCAAGATCTGATGGCACACCAAAACTTTTGAAGATAGTTGAAGAGAAATAAAAAACAGCATTAATGCCAGATAGCTGCTGTAAAGCAAAAAGTGTACATCCAATGAACATCACTGCAAAATGTTTTCGAGGTTAAGCAATCATTTTGAAGAAACAAATATATATTATTGTACAAAAACAATTGTACATAGACTTTGACGACACCTTTGAAATGACGACTGTAGAGTGATTCTGAAAGTTTGATTGTATCATACTCATCACCTCTGTCATTTGACAATTCAGCTATTGCAGGTTTCACATGTATCCCGCCCAAGAGTTTCTCAAATTCAGCTTCAGCTTCAGTACGTCTTCCTCTCTGATAAAACCCAAAGAATTATAAGTGCCTCTCTGCACAAGTAGGCTTGATCAATCCAAAATGAAAAAGAAGAAAAAGTCAAGAAGGCTGAGATTGCCTCGATTTTCTTAGTATAAATAAATTGCTCAATGTACAATAATAGATTGGAACGAACATAAAGAAAAGTCTTTCTTTTTCTACCTTTACGATGAAAAAGTCAAGAAACTAAATAACTCGCATCAGTCACAAAGAGACAATGGAAGGTAAAACGGACATGGTTGTTTGATCACAAGTCAGCCAGTAATAGTTCCTTCCGACTAATATCTCTGTAAGTATGATCAGGAACCAAATATTTCCATTAATTCATTCTACTCAATAAGCCATACCTCAATCAAAGGAGTGAAAGATAGTCAAATGCGGCACAAAAAAGTGACCGGATCAGTTTATTTGAAATTCAGTTTATTATTGATTGACATAGGAAACTGTATAACCTTGAAAAGCCAATGCGGACTCTCTGCACAGAATTCCATGGCAAAGGCAAGTATTGCTGCAGGAATGCCAGATATCCAAAAACAAATCCTCCACCTGAGAAAATTGTTCCATTTGAGATGCTACTTTTAAAAAATAGAGCTGAAAATATTTAATAAAAAAATATTGAAATCTGGAATTGATATATAACTCTAGAGACAAATAACTCCATGAACTTCTCTATAGAAGTCCATTTAAACGTTTCATACCAACCCACTATCTCCTTGGCAGGGAATCCAACAAGTAATGCACCCATAATTCCAAGACATGTTGCAATCTGAGTCAAACTCCCAAAAGTACCCCTTACAGTTGGAGGTGAAACCTACAAATGAAAACGGGTACTTGTAAGTATTCAGGAAAAATAAAATGACCACTTACTATTGAAAATAATGTGATCCGTAATGTAGAAAATAATATGGTTTTATTGTCTCATTTACCTCAGTCACGTAAAGAGCTGCAACAGGAGGGCCAAGTCCCATCCCCGTACCGACAAATAACCTTCCGAGAAGCATACCCCACAGGCTTTTTGTTGTTGCACTACAAGATTTATGATCAGTAAGTTTGTAGCTTTATCTGCTATTATATTTTGCAAACTAAAGCATGAGATACAGCCAAAAAGAAAAAAAAAAGAAAAAAAAAAAGAAAATTGGTGAAGAGCAGTTCCGTGTCGCTTCAGATTATTATTAGTTATAAAACTATCTTTCTCAGTTTCTTCTATTTTTCCCTATTCAGATATGAGGTCCTGTTTGAAATAATGAGGCTAAGGCTTAGTGGTATTGGGTGTTTTCGCAGTGTTATGGTGCTTCTGGCTATAGAAGAATACCCAAGATTTGAAGGGAACCTATTCATCTGATTGATTGTTTGCAGGATAGGATTGGATTTTGGCTTCCCTCCTGTATTCACCTTATGGACTCTTTTTAGGAATTCCCTCTTTAGATTTCCAGGGAGATTAATGAGCTTTCTTGTATGTCTGACTTTTCTGGTTTTGCTGAGCTTTGTGCTCTACTTGTGTTTGTATGGAAGTCCCTCCTGTTCTGTACTTTTCCATCTTAATATAATTTCTTCTTATCTATCAAGGAGAGAAAACTGAGAAACTCAGCTTAAACACAGATTCAAAGGATTAATAAATGAGTAGGGTTAAATTGAGGGATGAGTAACACAAAAGATAATTGCTTTCACTAACTTCTAGCTGAAAAGTAGCAAGAATGATAAAATTTGTCCGCATTTTCCGAGAACTGCAGGAGATCCAATTAATTAAAAGTTAAAGCCATTAGAACACAATAACGTTCTGCTATGTCATGTGCCATAAGGGGAAAAAACAAAAACAAGAAGGAAATTAACCTTTCACCCCACAGAGCAACTAAGCCACATATTATTCTGTTTCTGTTTATAAGTCACTTGTAGAAAAAAAATCTGTTCCTAAATATAAGTTACTTGT